CCAGTGGCTTTATCCGAATAATGGAGCAGTCTGGATTTTTTTTTTTTTTTTCATGGCCGGAAGACCAGCCAGCCAGCCAGCAGCAGGCAAGACAAGCACTCAGATAACAATTATACCCGATTTACAAATTCTCCATTGAGCTAAGGGACAGAGTAGGTCTCTGCTTTGAAAGAACTGATCTATCTGGGGGAATGCCATTGCACTCCAGCCTAAATACAGCTGTTCAAAATCTAGGCAGTATGGAAGGCAACACTGTTGCATCAATATTTTGTGACCTCCTGTGTGGAGGAGGCTTAGCATTTTCTCATAGTGGACTAAGACAAAATAAAATCGGAGGATGGTGGCGTTTCATTTCTAAGCAATTTAAGATGATGCCAAACACATGAGTGCAATACTTAACAAGAGAAGCATTTTGTAACAAGAACAGGGCAATAGGATCTGATTAAAACCATGTTGTACTGAAGTCAGTTATAGGCAACCCCTGCAAATCATATATCAATAACTCTTGCAAATCATAAATTGATAACATATACATTGGTTTTTCGAGACAGGGTTTCTCTGTGGCTTTGGAGGCTGTCCTGGAACTAGCTCTTGTAGACCAGCCTGGTATCGAACTCACAGAGATCCTCCTGCCTCTGCCTCCCGAGTGCTGGGATTAAAGGCATGCGCCACCAACACCCGGCTATTTTAATTTATTTTCAAAGTACAATGCCACATGGGTTGTTTCCATTCAGTTAGATCTAGGTTAAAAATGCTGATGAATGGGGGCAGGAGAGATGGCTCAGTGGTTAATAAATAGCACTGCCTCTTCTTCCAAATCACTAGGGTTCAAGTGCCAGCACCCATATAGCATATCTCACTGCAATCTGTAATGTCAGTCCCAGGAAATCCAATTCTTCCCTCTGTTCTCTGTAAACACTGCACACACATGGTACACAGGCACTATGCAAGCAAAATACCCCTACAAATAAAATTGATTCTTTTTAAATGCCTGTGAATAAAGGCTTTTCAGTCTTCAGTTCAGAAAGAGTCCCCTGACATGAGGGCATTGCTTCGAACACAACACCTAAACAGCTTTGGAGGGACAGTGTCATTTTCTGGTAAACAATGACTTCATTTGTTCAGTATCTGTGTGATAAACTTTGGGGCTATACTAGAACCTTAGCTGATTTATTTAAATAAACATGCAGGGCTGGAGATGTACCTCAATGGGTAGACTGCTTGCCTAGCATATACAAAGCCTGTGTGTGGTGATAAAGAGTATGGGGACTGATGCCTGTAATTCCAGCACTCAGGTAATGGAGGTAGAGGGATCACAATTTCAAGGTCATCCTCAGTTACATAATAGCAAGTCTGAGGTCCATATAGACTAGATGAGACCTTTTCAAAAACAAAGGGCCGGCAAGATGGTTCAGCAGATGAAAGTGCTTGCTGATTAAGCCCAGGTAAATCTGAGAATCCACATAAAAATGGAGATAACCAACTCCACGAAGATGTCCTCTGATAAACACACACACACACACACACACACACACACACACACACACACAGCACGTACACATACAATGATAAAAACATTTTAAAGTTAAGTCAAACAAAACTAAATAGATCAGTGTGCATGATTTTTCTTTACTCAGTGCTGCAACTTTTCTTAATCACCATAAGCATCATTTATTTCTATGACTCTGTTGTTTACCTCTTTCCAATCAATCTTTTCACATGTGGCCTCATACTGCAACAAATACAGTTTTTTCTCTTCAGGAATACAAAAACATGCCATTGCCACAGCAATGCCTGTAGCCTCCTATGGCCATGCCAAGTTTCAGTCACAGGTGGTTTTCCCGGCTTATTTGTTTAAAAAAGATATTCTCTCCCCCACTTTAAATGTTCCTACCTCCCAGTGATTGGGGACCAGTTGGACAAACTGAAGACTCAAATACTTAAATTATTAAGAAGGAAGCTTTCCTTCATTGTGGTTTATCTTATGTGGTTTATCACTGTCCTTCAGTGCATCTTTTTAGTCTTGAATTAAGATTTTCAATGTCTGAGATTCTGTCTACATTCTAAACAGGATTTTACTTTAAGGTAACAATGTGGAGTTTCCACAGATACACATATAATTACATCTGACATCTACACTAATTACATCTTTCTATATTTATGATTATCATCTCTGTCAGTTGTAATGATGATTAGAACTTGGGTGCAGGAAACACTTTTTAGTTGGTGAAAACAGTGTATATAGAAACAAGGAAATGTGATAAGCCTTTTATTTAGCACATTTTGTATCATTTGTCAATCTTTGCATATTTCATGACTAACTTTTGGCTTTCAAGAGGCTCATTTTGCTTTTGTGTCTTCTAATTACCATTTCCTCAATGCTGGTTATGATTTTGATACTGGCCAGCAGAAAAACATTTTGTTCCATCTGTCCTCTAAGTCTCAACTGCCACACGTCACTGAGAGCATTCTTGCTCTTCAGCAAAGACAGACAAAACAAAACAAACAACAAAAACACTGTTCTGAAAACAACAACATTCTGTCTATCTCAGGCACGACATACAGCTATGTTTAAAAAAGGAAGTGCATTGCTTATTTCTCATTAGTAAAATTAGGAGGAATATGTTGGAGAAGAGAATTACAATCTAAAATGGGTACATAAGAATTCACAGAAGGGAAGAAATAACTTGATCACCTTCTGTAGAATAAATGGTTACAATCAAAGGTCATACAGAAAAGCTTCAACTTTTACCATCCATTTGGGTCATCTGAATAACTTACTGTCCTTCTTTTTTCTAAATCACCATTCTTTATTACTTATATGTACACACAGAAGTGCCTTCCCAATCTATTCCTTAAAACTAAGCTACCGTTAAATTAGTGAGGTTCCTTCTTTTAATTCATAGATGTATTATATCTAAGTATGAAAAATCAATGCTTACAATACATGAATTATTTCATCATATTAATAATGACTATAGCAAAACTAATGCTATTTTCTATTTAACCAAGTAAACACAGGCAGAACCTACCCAGGGATGCCACTCTATTTTCATAAAAATAATACAGACCTCACCTTTATTTGCATATTTATTAATATGAACTAATATTAGCATTATTTTAATAACAGGCAAGTGTGTGTGTGTGTGTGTGTGTGTGTGTGTGTGTGTGTAGGTATGTGTTTCATTAGACAAGGTCTCACTGTGAAGCCCTGGTTGACCTAGAACTCACTGTGTAGACCAGGCTGGCATCAAACTCAGAGATTCATCTGCCTCTGCCTCCCAAACTCTGGAATTAAAAGGTGTGTGCCACCATACTTAGAAACAGCAGATAATTTTAATGTTTAACTCCAGTATTTAAACTACTTTTTAAGATTTAATTTTGTATTTTTATGTGCATGTTTGTATGAATGTATGTATATTTACCAATGTGGGTGCCTAGAGAGGCAAGAAGAGGGCCTTAGGCTTTTGAAGCCCAAGTTACATGTATCTGAAACCACTTGACTTGGGTGCTGGGATCTGAATCCAGCCTTCAGCTTGAAGCAGCCAATGCTCTTTTTTATTTTGTTTTGTTTCTTTGAGACAGTGTTTCTCTGAGTGGTCCTGACTATCCTCAGACTTGCTCTGTAGGTCAGGCTGGTCTTGAATTCAAAGATCTCCCTGCCTCTGCCTCTCAAGTGCTAGGATTAAAGGCGTGCACCACCACTTAAGCATGGAGCTCTTTCAATGCAATGATGTAATTCTCCAGTGGATTCAAATGTCCTGTCTGTTTCCCTAGTTTCTGCAACTTGGAATGACTGAAAAGGTATCATGGAGAAAACAAGATCACATTTAAAGAATTAGAATGAACAGAAGAAATAACTTGCAATTTATTGGAAGGTATTATTCTAATTAATAGTACCAGTTAAAAGAAGCCTCCACACTGAGAAATATTACTTTTTGGTTCTATCCACTCTGTTTTATTACCTTTCAGATTTAGAACATTTGTGAGCTGGGCATGGTGGCACACACCTCTAATCCCAGAACTCTTGGGTCTCTGTGAGTTCAGGCCAGCCTAGTCTACATAGTGAGTTCCAGGCCAGCCAGGGTAACAGAGTGAGAACCTGTCCCCAAAAAATAACTAAGTAAATGAATAAATGCAATTTAAAAAATTTTTAAAAAATGGAAGACAAACAAAGACAAAGATTTATGATGAAATTTCTTCAATTTTAAACTGTAAATCAGAACATAGAAAATTAAAAATAGCTGTTATACATAGGAAAAGAAGGCTGATGACAACATGCCATATATTTCAAGTCCCTAGAGAGTCACAGAATAGATTTGCATTCGTACAGATAGATACACAGTAATCAGACACAAACACACATGCCATTCATTTTCCCATGTGGCAAGTGTTAATATTTCAGCCCCATGAAAAAACAAGGGTCTTTTAACAGCTAGAACTTGGGTTTGGGTTATGCATGAGAAACAAGAAGAAACAGGCTCCTGCTTCATACCACATGCAACACTGAAAAATGGATTAACACTCAGATTTTTTTTTTTAATGAGGCAAAAATATTTAAGACAATTTCTCATGACATTGAAGTAAGCAAACCATGCAGAGCACAAGAGAAATCTCAGAAGTCATAAAGGGAAAGACATTTGATTAAACAATTAACAATTTCCATTTGACAAAAGACATTATACCCAGAGGGGGGGAAATCACAAAGATGTTTTCACACACATAGCAAATGATTAACACCTTTAAAAACTGGACTGCTAGAATTTGAAAATGGAAAGATGGGCTATGAAATGAGATGAAGACAAAAGAAACTCAGACATCTGATACACAAAAACAGAATTAGTGACAGGAGAGAAAATGAAAGATCAATCATTAGAGACAGAAAGGCAGTCGAGAATTTTAAAGGGGCATCAAGTGCTGAAGAAAATGCAGGAAATGGGAGGTGGCTTGCTATTCCTTTGGGTAATCTAGCAATATCTATTAAAATTAAAAACACATACCGTTTGACCAAGCAATTCCACTTCTGGGAATCTACCCTATAGGGAAAAAAGGACCAGTATGTGAGTGTGTAAGCACAGAGACATTCATGGCATCATGGTGGCTGTGCATAAGGGTTGGCAAGGGCAGTACTGAATATCATATGAATGTCCATCAACAGAAAATACAAAACCACCAATCATCTATCACATCAAATATTACATAATCATTATTCAAATGAATGAGAGTGTTGTCTTCATTAAGTTGGAAGATTGATAAGGTGAGAAACATGAACAGAAGAGTAAATGCCTAGCACCTTTGCTAAGGTGGGTAGTAATGTATGTGAACGTGCTTTCCCATAAAACCAAGAATAGAAGCACACCAACTAACCCAACAAGTGTCACATGAGTGATGAAAGGAGGTAGTGTTTATGATTGGGCTGGCTCAATAGTTGGGCTGGCTCAATAGTTAGGATGAGCACAGTTGTGAGTTGTACAACTTTCAAAGTTATTTTTGGTGAAGAATGTCCATTAGTAGAAGTACTCCAGGACATTCGTACTTAGTAAACTGGCACTGAAGGAACACATGATTCTTTGTTGGCTCATGCTCATCTCACTCATGTTCATTCTTGGTGGCTTGCCCATGTCTACATTTTTTTTTGTCTCCTCTCTGTGTGTTCAACATATAGTTTGGCCAACGCAGACTATATACTCCATTTCCAGGGACTCTTAAATTGTTTCTAAACCACTGCTCCATGGGAAACAATTCCAAGACATTTACACAGCTGTAAATCGTCCAGCAGTCAATTTTTCAAAATTAGATAAAATAAAAAGTGCTTGCTTCACATGGCATGACCCAGACTGCATTCTAATGGTATTGGATCTCTGTATATTGCTCATGTGGATAGGAGGGAACAAACACGTACACAGCATGTGGAGGCCAGAGACAATGTTGGGTGTCTTCGTGGATTGGTCTCTATCTGTTCTGGCTGATTTTATACCTACTTGACACAGCCTAGAGTCATCAGAGAAGAAGGAGCCTCATTTGAGAAACTGCCTCCATAAGATCCATCTGTAAGGCATTTTCTTAATTAGTGACAGTTGGGGGAGGGCCCAGACCATTGTGGGTGGGGCCATCACGGTGCTGGTGGTCCTGGGTTCCATAGGAAAGCAAGCTGAGAAAGCCATGTGAAGCAAGCCAGTAAGAGCACCCCTCCATGGCCTCTGCATCAGCTCCTGTCTTCAGGAGTTGGCCCTGTTTGAGTTTCTTTTCTGACTTCCTTCAGTGATAAACAGTGTTGTGAAAGTATAAGCTGAATAAACACTTTCCTCCTCAACTTTTATTCATTTATTTATTTTTTTGGTCACAAGGTTTCATCACAGCAATAGAAACCCTAAGATACCATTGATATTTTTGAGAAAAGAACTCTAACTGACTGTTGTGTTCAAAGATTGGCTAGACTGGCAGGCAACTGAGCCCTAAGAATTCTCTTTCTTCATCTCTCCACCCCTGGCATCCCAGGCACCCACTTTCTATGTGGATGCTGGGCATTTGAACTTGGGTCCTCAGCACTTCATAGTCTTGAGACAGCCTTCTAGCTCAGCAAGTGTAATTTTAGCATTGTTATTCTAATCAGATAGATGCCCCCAAGGTCTCTCATTTCAATGTGACACTAAAGGACTATGAGTGAGAAACCCACATTCTTCCATTTCCCAACTCAGCAAGAGCTCAACATGGTTAGGTTTAGAATTTAAAGTGGACCAATAAGAGGGAAACTATGGTGACAGGAGAATAACAGTTTTCCCCTAGGTGAAAATGGATAAGGATAAACAGTGTCCCTCTAGGGAACAGTTGGTGCCCAGCTGTTGGACCCCAGGTCTGCATGAGCACTACGGACCCCTGGCTGTATTTGGTGTGGAGCCTGTGCTTTTCAGTCATCTGGGCTAGCTAGTTCTCTTTATGTCTTTCAGGAACTGGGTTAGGTCTTCTATTAGTTGCAGTTAAAAGCTGACCGATCAATAAAGTCCTCAAAGGATATTGCCATGTCCACGAAGATTGTTTTCCCAAAAGAAGCTAATATTCCAAATTTCTACCATGTACTCAAGGTATCCTTGTATACAATTTCCTTGATTTGGTAATGTTTGTATTAATTTTCTAAAAAGTCCTTAGTGAAGATCCTCAGGTTAATACTTGATCACCCAGGGCAAGTTTCTAGCAGCCACACAGAGGGATTCTCCTAGATGCATCAGGCCCACGGATTCTCAGTGCAGCGGCCACCTCTCACCCTCATTTCACTTCCAACTTCTGTCCCTCCCTCTCTGGATCATATTTTCCAACAGGTTGGGCAGGTGACTGTTGGGGATTGGGGATAGCAGTTTCCATGCACACGGTAGGACATTTAACATATTCTTGGCTTCTTTCTACTAGAAAGGAAGAGCCCCATTCACCCCCAATAGTTAGGCCAAACAAAGGTATTTCTAGATGTAGTAAAATATCTCTGGGGAAGGGGAGACAGCAAAATTACTTTGGATTTCTTTCTGTCCTAGACCAACAACCAATTCAATTGTACAATAGACATTGCTGTGCAACAGGACACAATCCTTACAGTGTGAACAGCCTGCAAGGGTGTCCTGTAGCACAACTTTTCTAAGTGTCTCCTGAACTTTCTAGCCAATCTTCCTTTCTCACTGTCTGCTTAGCAGGGAGCCTGAACTCTCATAGCTGTCCTTCTTCCTGGAAAAAAAAAAATATGGCTTCTTCCTTCCAGTTCTAGATTCCAGTCATTCCGTGAGCTGTTCCAAGAACTGCACTCCCAGGCATCCCCCTTGGACTTCTCTGAAAGGGATTTTCTGATGAAGTATGTGCTCATTTCTGTCACTCACTCCCCGGTTGTGGCCCTGGATTGTGGGCCACTGGTTTCATCTTTATATACCATCTAAACACAGTTCCATCCCCGTCTCTCCATACCAGCACATCATTCCCTCTAATCCATCTCTAGGACTAGACTGACATTATAATTACTGCAGACATATTGATCCTCAAATTGGCCTATAGTCTCCATGCAATTGTGGGGGTAAGGGGGTCGGGGGAGAGTCCTCTCAGATTTTCTTGAAGAAGTGGACAGACTTCTTCTAAAATGTAAAAACCCCAAGCAGTTAAAAAACAATTTGGAAATGCATAAAGTTGAAGGATCAGCATCTCCACCAAGAAAACTCACTACCAAGCCATGATCAGGGCACTGACCTAAAGACAAACAGAAAATGAAACAAGAGAAGGCCTTCAAGAGACACTCACATACAGGAACAATTGAGCTTTGATAAAAAAACACAAAATCGCCGGGTGTTGGTGGCGAATGCCTTTAATCCCAGCACTCTGGAGGCAGAGGCAGGCAGATCTCTGTGAGTTCGAGGCCAGCCTGGTCTCCAGAGTGAGTGCCAGGATAGCCTCCAAAGCTATACAGAGAAACCCTGTCTCAAAAAACAAAATAAAAACAAAAACAGAAAAAAAAAAAAACACAGAATCCCAATGGCCCAAGAACAGTCTGTTCCAAATGGTACCAGAAGTACTAGATATTTATGTAGAAAAGCAGGAACTTTCATTTACATCTCTCTTGATATGTAAAAATTAACTCAAGATTAAACACAGCTCTAAACATATGAAACTTCTGGAAAACAGAGGGATAAACTTTTGTAATTGTGCAGATTTCTTAGATTCAGCACCAAAGCATTTAAAGAACAAATTAAAAGACCATCAGAATTCCAAACATTTGCTCTTCTGATAACAAGGAGAATAAAAACTCACAAGTGGGAACACTTCATTTACAGATTCAATATCTCTTATCCAAAATTTTTACACCTTGAGATGTACCAGATTGCTGAACATTTTAAATTTAAGGATTCTGGATTAGGGATGCTCAGCCTGTAGCAGATTTATTCATAAAGGCCACAAATTATCAGCTTCCCAAGTGTCATCAAGAAGTGAATGGATAATCAGACAGTGACATTGCCATGCAACAGAATATTACCTAGCAATGGAAAGAATTAGTAGTAACATATGCAGCATCTGTTAGAACCTGGATAGACCTCAAAATAGTTACATTAAGTAAGAGAAGCCAGATCAAAACTGGGGAATGTTATTTCCAGTATCATCCCATAACATTATGAAAGTGAAACTAATCTCTGGGGGTGGAAAGCATTGATAGTTGCCTGGCTGGGGTACACGGGTGGAAGGAGTAACACAAGGGACAAAAGGGACCTCACAGGGGAGATGGGCAGTCCACACTCTTGCTGCTGCTGGTAGTGGCACTTGCACACTTCATTTCTGTAATTTTTATTTTGCAGTACTGTGAAGAAAGAACCCTACCACTGAGCATCCACAAATCTCAAGTGTGGAAACTATGTGCACTTTCCTATATGCCAACAAGGCTTCAATAAAACTGTCTTCTTACTGGGAATAAAAGTATAATCTCAACTAGTACACCATGTAGAGTTACCATGTCCTTGGGACAGCTGAAGTTGGTTCATGTTACATGGGATTCCAGGAGAGGAGGCAACAGGAGGAATGGTTGTTTTTTAGTCTGCTGTTTTAAAATTCTGCTATGGCTTCAGAGTAACAGAATTCCCAGTTCTTCAGTATGTTAATGTAATGTCGCCTAGGTACTGTGCAGTAGCAGATGTGGTGTGCACTAGACTGGCGAGTGACTAGGCAGAGCCCAGGAAGAACTGAACAGAAGATCTTTGTCATGATTGTCCTTTTAAATATCTTCTGGGATAACCACTGCCATTGATAGTATATGTACAAATGTATAATGTGTATAAAACATGATGTGTAAATGCAACCACCTGGAGCAAAACACAAGGAAGAAGAGGAACAAAAGGAAAGGCGGAAACAAAACAGTCCTAGTTTAAAACTTTGCAGCCTGAATTCTCAAGGATAACAATTAAGTTGTGTGCTTTACCCAATGTTTATGACACCATTTGTCCACGATTCCACCAGAACCAACTGCATTAACATACACATTAATACCTTAGAATGCCTTCTTGAAAACCAGCACTGTTCC